CATTAAACCCTCAGATTTTTTAACATAAAACAATACTGTAATGTGTGCCTTGCTGTAATCCATGGTTGTTTCCCTACTCTTTGCTGCTCTTCCTTTTAAATCTGTATCTGTTCTCATGCTCTGCAGAACTTTTGTTTTGCAGCAGACTGCCTTGTCTCAGGAATAGATACACGGTGTCTGTGTATTAGTTTCTATAGGCTTGTAACCTGAGCCAGCACTACAGGAAGAGGCCCTGAGCTGAAAAGGGAAGTTCTCCCAAAGCATGAGAAGACATGAGGATTTAAAAGGAAGAGCAGCAAAGAGAAGGGAAACAACCATGGATTACAGTAAGGCGCACATTACAGTATTGGTTTATGTTAAAAAATCTGAGGGTTTAATGTCACTAACTTAAATGTAGCATTAAGAATACAGTGTAAGATATACAGTAACCGACATAACTCTGAAGACAATATCTACATTTTCCTGTCCTCAGCAAAGAACAGTAAAAATGGATTCACCATCCTAAATGAAGGCCAAAGCAGGGCTCAGCTCAGTTCACATATGTGCAGTTGGTCAGCAGCGACTGTGCCCTGTAGATCTCTCCGGCCGGCCCCTACAAAATCACAGGACAAGTCACTGCCTTACAGAGCTACTGTCCAGGGAATCGTTTTTAGATTTATTTTTTTGGCAGACAATACTTTCAATACTGACCAGCCCGAAGCCAGCAATCAGGCTTGCAATTCAATTGCCTGCAGTGTATGTGGGTAGGAAGCCGTGGGAGGTATTTAGGGGGCATAACCAGCGTGCTGGAACTTACTAGCTGTCCAATGAGCAGGCAGGACACAGAAGTAACAATGCCATTATCCAATCCTCAAATGTGCAGCACAAAACTAACACCATGGACATGCCGTTGGACATGCTATTCCAAACCCTGTGTCATTATTATTATTATACAGGATTTATATAGCGCCAACAGTTTGCACAGCACTTTACAATAATGCTCGAACTAAAGGTAGATTGCAAATGTGTATGCACTATGTTTTTGAATTGCACCGAACAACACACAGTACCGTGCATTGCGGTGCGGTCAATCACATTGCAGGCAGGAGGTGAGTTTGGGGTGCCATTTAAATGAATGGCAACGCAACACACTTTCTTCACTGTTAATGCACGTATCGTGCAGTTAATGCAAGGACCTGATGCAAACAGGCCGTAACGCACGTCCTGAAAACACTTACTAATATAAACTCTGGGCTTTTAACATTCAGTGTTCTAGGCTTTTAACATTCACTCTAACATTCTACATAAAATAAAATACACTTCTGTATTTTATGAAAAAGGCACAAATATCATGTTAACACTATAAAACCAACAGTTCCAAATTATGACATATAGCAGGCATGGCACCTCCCAGTATGAAAAGCTTTGTACAACCCTGCAACAACTGGTAATTACTATAGCACCAAACTCTCTGGCATAGAGCTACCGCCACCATCTGCAACACAAGGCCAAACTACTTTTCATGTTTCCATCTTTGCAGCTGTGAAATCACAACTTGTGAGCAGTAAAAGGAGGGTTTCAAGGACAATGTGATATGTACACCACACGTTTACAAACAAGAAATCTCCCCCATCTACTGAGCAGGGAACACTGAAGCCACATGCCCACTTATTTCAGAATGTTCATTAGAGATAATAGTTTTCTAGCTGCAACACTGTGCATGCATGAAGCTGAAAATATTTTTCAATTTCATGAAAAAAGCATTTAAAAAAAAAAAAAAAAAACAGCAGAAAGAGACTGACCATACAGAGAAAAGATTTTACATTCAAATGGCATATTGATCTCAGAATGAATTGTGAAGTATACAAAAATAAAAAGTTCTGTTGTCCGTAGCTCCGTAGCTGCCAGTTTTATGGATATAGGTAGATCAAACACTATGATCACTAACAGAAGCATTGTACTTTTTAATCAGATTATTAATATAAAACTCTTTAAATGTATTGGTTTATTCATTAAGGTAAATTCAGTAAGGTGTGTAAGGATATCAAAATCCTTAATTGTATTTCATGATCATTTTCTTACCAAGATGTTCTATCACTAAACAAATTCTGCAAAAGGTGTGGATTTTTTTTCTCCATTAAATGAAATGGCTATTTAACTTCAGAAAAAGCTTTTCTTATAAATCATTTTAGCTCATGAGTCGTCCTTTTATCTCCACCTCAACTGCCTTTTCCTATGCTCCTTAATAGATACCTCAAGAACAGTTTGAAAACACTTCACAAACCTATATCCTCAAGGCTTACAGATAACCACAAAATGGTATACAAATCTTATATTTACACCAGCATGCAATGTAAGGGCCTGCCATGGAGGAGTCATGGAAACTTAACTTCCACTTCCCCCTATACAGCAACCCAGACTGAGACTTTGTAGAGGAACAGTTAGGAGGATGGAACTTCCACCAAGGCATTGTAACTAACAGGGTTAATCACAAAAACGGTGAAGAAGTGAACAATCTAGGCAATCTAGGCCAAAATAGCCGATTTGGAAAAAGTCTCCAATTCAGCTCACTTTCCAGTTCAGCTATGTTGTCCTAGATTGTTCACTTCTCCTGCCTTCTCCAAACTCTTCACCCTTTTATGAGTAACCCTGTAAATCACTGATTCTGACACGTACATACAATATTTGTTAACCTTGACATGTTCTAAATTCTTTTCTACAGCTTCAAGTTGACTCCAGATAAGCCATTAGACAATCTCCAAAGTCTAAACATTGGAACTCTCATTCAACGCATATCTCAGGGTTGGGAAAGGATGATGGCAAGACCATCCTGACTACAATTAAATTTTTATATTGCTTTACCATAAAAGCAGGATATATAGTCTTTAGGACAAGTTGATTATCAAGAAAAGTAATGTAAAGCAAACAGACAAAGCCTGGAAATCAGTGATACGTCTGACAGCCATTACAATGGTTTTAATTGTAGGAACACCGTAATCCTCTAAAGATTCTAAGATTCCAAAGATTCAGAGTAAGGACAGAGAACACACAATTAGGTTCCTAGTAAGGAACCCCCCTATTCAGGTACTACCACTCACTAAGTCTGAAATCTACGCTAAACTGCGTGGATGGAGGAATCTTCCACTGGGCGAAGTTTCAGTATCTTGCTAATCAGCCGCGTTGGCTGTCAAAATACCTGAACAATCTGACTGGATGTAGGCATTGTTCAGGTGTTTTAAAAGCCAATGGGGCCGACTAGCAAGATACTGAAGCTTGGCCCATTGGAAGATTCCTCCATCCACACAGTTTAGCGTAGATGGAGGAATCTGTTACAGTTTTTCCATCTGACCATAGAAAATCTGCAGATAATCTATAGGTGTATGGCCAGCTTTTAACAGATTCTTTGACTCTACAGCTGTGTATAAACAGGTGTAGAGTCCAGGAATGGAAATTGCCCTACCAAAATGCAGTAAACCCAGTAGAGACACAGCCTTTCAATGGGCAAATCTTGGATCCTATGCATCATATAAAAGGTCTTTTGCATAGTAAGTTTATAGATGTTTTGTTTGTCAACAAAATGTAGCTGGATCCCCAAGAAAACATTTACCTGAATGCTGACTTTTGTCTTTTTATAAACCAACCCAATTTCAGCAGGGTTTCCTATACAATGACTATTAGAGGTCAATCAAGTCTCTTCGTCCCCCACCAACAGAATATTTTCAAGGTAGGAATCGAATATTATTTGCAGAAGCCTCAAAAACGCTCCATTTCTTCCATTCGTTTGGTAAAAATGCATGCGAGTGGTGTCAAGCCAAATGGTAAAGCACAACATTCAACATGCAGGATTAAGTGAATAGCAAAATGATAGTACGCATCCTTTAGACCTATAGACATCATGAACGGGTCTTGTCATCTTATTGATGGTGGAGTATATAATCACCATCTTGAACCTTTATATTTTTAGAAATGTGTTCAGTTCCCATACATTAAGTAGTCAGTATGTTCTGGTTTGGCTTGCCAACAAGAAATAGGTTCCTTCCACCTTATTCCTTGACCAAAACCACAGACAACCACTAGTTTTTACCTGGCAGGAAAGGAATGTTACAGAGATACCTGTGAATTCCCTTCCAGTTTAGGGAGCTGTGTAAAATAAATAACAATTAGAAGATCAGATGATGCTTCTGTTTCTAGGAAGGAGGTATAGAGATGGAGAGTTTGGTTTTTTTTGTGTGCGTTTTTTCTTTTTTTTAACCATTCTGTGCTTTCTGTCCCTAGAAAAAAAAAATCTTTCAGTCTAGGTTGCCATGAAGGTGGAAGTAGAAACTCAGAGGTAATGCCACCTGAATCTGGCAGCATTTTATGCAGCGATAACAAGTGTGATCATTTTTGCCAATTGACCTTTGAACTCAACCACAAATAATAATATAGTGCCTACAAAGTAAACCTGTACAAAAAAGCCTTTAGTAAACAGAAAATTTATTTTCTGACCTTTACGGTTAGCAAAAAATGTAGTTATAAAAATAATAACTGTAATGCATTTGTGAATTGACCCTCAAACATGGGCGCATTAGGCTATATGCCATAAAACAGCTGTACTTTTGTGTCCGGGAGACACCTGTGATGCATACAGCCTTCTGTACTATTCAATGACAGGCTACAGATGTATGCTGGTAAACACTGATCCAAGCGCATACATGCGTACAGATGTACATCCCTGGATGCAGACTGTCCCGTGTGCATGAACACCATAATTCAACTCTTATAGAGGGTTGGGTCAAACCCCAGCTATGTTTATCCCTATGTAATTCTGGTTGCAAGATCTCAGCACTTGTCAATTAGTAACATTTATTACGAAGAGG